TATATATATATATATATATATATTAAATCGTGTCGTAAATATATCTATCATTTCGAGGATTCTCGATTGTTTTATATTGAATGGAACAAGTTTATCGTTCTCTAGATGCGACAAAATGATTTTAACTAAAGGTGTCAAAATGTGATTACGAATGAGAATTAACTTATATTATATTAATACATTATATTAAACATGTCAATTGCACGTGTTGCAGGTTGTCACGATACTTTTAGAGCGCGGTGCTACCGTGGATCACGAGGATAAGGATGGTATGACTCCATTATTAGTTGCCGCGTTTGAGGGTCATCGAGACGTTTGCGATTTGCTTTTGGAATTTGATGCGGATATGGATCATTGCGATGTCACCGGGAGAACGCCTTTGTGGGCGGCTGCGAGTATGGGACACGGATCGGTCGTGAAGCTCTTATTATACTGGGGCTGCTGCGTTGATACTATAGACAACGAAGGCAGAACCGTTCTCAGCGTGGCCGCCGCGCAGGGCGGTACGGACGTCGTAAAGCAATTACTCGCTAGAGGTAAAATTGATTTAACAAGCGCAAGCGCTGCGTTGTGCGTATGATCTGTGTAAGTGCATAAAGAGATGTAATTTCTTGACATAAGGCCTAGACGAGCAGCACAGAGACAATTCTGGCTGGACCCCTTTACACTACGCGGCGTTTGAGGGTCACATCGAAGTTTGCGAGGCGTTATTAGAAGCTGGCGCGAAGATCGACGAAACAGACAATGATGGAAAAAGTGCTCTTATGCTCGCGGCGCAGGAAGGGCACACATCGTTGGTAGAAAGATTGTTGGAACATCACGGCGCACCTATAGATCAGCATGCCCACGATGGTAAAACTGCTTTAAGGTAATGCGCTAATGCTTTATATAAATAAACAGGATTGAAATGAGATATAAAATGAGATCAGCTTATATTTTCTTACATATATTGTCTCTTGTATTTATAGATTAGCAGCCCTAGAGGGACATTACGACACCGTGAAAATATTATTATCTCGCAATGCTGATGTTAACGCGAAGGATGCTGACGGAAGGAGCACTCTATATATACTTGCATTAGAAAACAGATTAGCTATGGCGAGATTTCTGTTGGAACATGCGAGCGCCGATGTAGAAAGTAGAGATTCAGAAGTTAGTAATTATCGATTTCACATTTGAAAAAGAAGCTTATAATTATTATTTTAAATTGCACAGTCACAGTAATTAATAATAATTAATATATCTGTATTTTACAGGGTAGGACATCATTGCATGTAAGCGCTTGGCAAGGACATGTGGAAATGGTAGCTTTGTTACTAACGGATGGTGGAGCTAGTGTGAATGCTTGCGACAATGAGAACAGAACGCCACTTCATTCGGCCGCTTGGCAAGGACACGCAGCAATCGTCAGGCTGCTCCTGGAACATGCTGCCACTCCTGATCACACTTGCAATCAAGGTGCAACGGCTCTAGGTAAAGTCAGCCATGAATAATCTATGGCTGTACGAGTGAAACTAATAACGATTCTGTAAAAACGTTTTTTATTAAACTTTTATTGAACTTTTTCTATCAGACAGGAATACTTTAGCTGATAAGAAATTTGTAGGTATTGCCGCCCAGGAGGGACACGAGCACTGCGTCCGGGCGCTTTTAAATCACGGAGCTGATCCGAATCATTCCGATCACTGCGGACGAAACGCCATTAAAGTAGCCGCTAAAAGTGGTCACGATACAGTTGTCAGGCTATTGGAAGAACATTCTGCCAATCAACGCAGTTTGAGACCCGGCATCAATGGAGGTTATATAATTGATATTCTCTTTATTAATTCGTATAATCAAATTTAGGAAGTAAATTTGAGAAAGAGATAAAGATATTTATTCCATTCTATAACGAGAAATTATAAATTTCGAAGTTATTTTTCTAAAATCTTCTAATTCTTTGATATAAATAATATTTTTGCACATTTATTTTTCTTTTTAATTTATCATTGATTTATAATTTATAATGTTATAATAATAAAAGTTGAAAATAAATTCTGTTATAATTTTCAGGAGGTAGCAGTAGTGCTACTTCTGTAACATCCAATTCGACGGCTGAGACCAAACCTTCATCGGCAATCCTAAATCCTCTGTCTACGCAATACAGTCCAGCGGAATCACCAGATTCCACTAAGCGACGCAGTTGCGTTTCTCTAGGCAACAATTCGAGCAACAGCAAATCGAGCAGTAACTTAACTGGCAGCACTAAGAGCGATCAGGGAAAATTCAATCAAAACTCGATGGTTAACTGTCAGGTAATTAAAGTACATGATATGTATATACAAGTAGGAGCAACTTTATGTCATTTGGCAATCACAAATAAAATTTTATATATTATTTTATATATATAGTATAATATTTTACTTGTGTTTTGCGTACATCTCCTTGCTTCAAGGAAATATCACGACCTACTTAGCTTATCGAAAATTTGTCATTGTTCAATTTTCATAATTTTAGACGCCATTATCTTTTACGCAACAACTACAACAGTGTTCAAGAGGAGCAAAAAGTCGACCACTCAGTAAACTATTGTCACCCTTGAAGAGCGAACCACAAAGTCCGATATACGCTTCACCACCACATTCTCCGTTAAGCGATAGTCTTATTCCTTATTCACCTACAAACACGAGTCCACCCAGTGCTCAAACGGCCGCTAACGTGATACAGAATCAGCTGGGTGTATCGTTAATGGCGGCAAATCCAAACATGCCATACAAAACGCAGTCGGGAGGATATAATCATATACCAATGATTTACGAGCCGATCAAGATCAAAACTGAAATTATCGACAGAAATAACATTAGTAAACCGTTTGAATTAACGAATGAAATGTTAGGTTTGAGCATTGGGAAAGATAAGGAGAATGGACACGAGGAAAAACGAAATTCGGCAGATACGCATTTTACACGAGATACTCATATGAGAATAATATTGGGAAATAGCGGCGCTGGTGTTGGTAGAAGCGTCAAGCACACCGATCACACACCTGGAAGGTAAGGAATTGATATAGCGTGAGCATTTTTCTATGCTAAAGTCCTAATTGTTTATCATATCATACAATTAATAATATCATCATAAATGTGTTTTTCGTTCGTCTATCACATTCAAAATGCACCACATATCAGAGATCACAAATTTGTTTGAAGTACATATTCACGAAATTCAGCAATGCAAGAGTATCAGATCACACAGATATGTCATGTACATTAATCTTATGTTTCATATGTGTATGTCATCTAAAAGTCACATGTACATAATTCCATCTTGTCAATTAAAATTTTATAAAGCATACTTATCATCTTAATTTTTTCAATGCAATTCTTTAGACTTTACAGAAATCACAATGGTCGTATAAGGAAGACACACCGCTTCATGAGCGATAGGCTTTCCTTCCTTTTTCAACCCTCCCGAGTGAAAAAAGATAGAATATGTAGTCAAGGAGGACATACGACAATGTTAGACATATATATCATGCTATGTATTAATTGATTACTTTAAATGTACAGCTGATCAGAAACACAGACATATTAATGATATATATAATGAAAGATACTTTCTTTTCTAAAATCTTAATATAAATATTACTTTTTTTCTCTTTAACTTGCATTTAATTTCTCACGTCAACTCTTTGACAAAACGAAAAAATTTATACATATATGTTATTTGTAAACGTTTCATAAAGTGCTACTATATTACATTTCAGTGCAGGTAATTTAAAGCCAAAGCGTAATGGCTTGGTATCCAATCCAGCCATGAGATTAGTAGCGGGAGTTAGAAATGGAATTGAGAATGCCACAAATAGAAATAAGCCTATCACAACACGTGTAAACGGATTCCAGTGGAAGACAGAAGCGCGCAAGGAAACACCCTTGTAGGGACAGGTATTACTTATTTATTCATTAACAGTTTTATACAATTTACCAATTTTTATACAATAAGGAATGCTTTGCAATAAGAGCTATAACTTTACAAAAACAAATATCTTGACATTTCACACACTTTCAAGTTGTCTGAGAAGTATTTTGTCAAAGTTAACACTATATTTATTCATTATAGGACAGATATATATTCTGAAATTTCAGAAATTTAAAAATTTATTTTGTTATTTTTTAAAAATAAGTAAAGAAGAGAGCAATTATGGCATAAAAAGAATTTTAATATTTCTGAGTAACTATTTATATATGTTGCCACATTTCACATAATAATAAAATCAGAATGAGTATTAATATAGAGCTATATAAAATAGCTATATAGAATAAAATAAAATAAATTTTTTTCATGTTAATATAGGCTGTACATTACGGATTGTCTCGGCGAAGAGCCGGAAGCCAACATCGTGGATGGCGATCTGTCGCGAATAAAAAGCGAAAGTCAATAAACAAATTTTTCTCGGTTTATTTGAGCAAAATCAAATTACCTCGAATAAGAAGGAAAAGAAAGGTGGAATGAATATTCTGATATAGCGTGAAATATCGAAATCGCGTAGCACACAAAACCAAATATTAATTTGCATAGGGAAAGTATATAGACATAGATATGTAAACTCATGAAACATGACTTTGTATAAACATAACGTTAACGAAATTATTTACTGATCTCACTAATATAATATAATGCACATACATATATACATACATTCATATTAGGTGTATGTATGTTTGTATGTCAAAATACTTATTATACAGGATATATTACAAATGCTGCCCAATCTCTTAACCGAGCTTAGAGAACAAATTACTACTTCTGTTGTAAATATTTGGTTCGCAGTCGAAAATTAAAAAATTTATTAATTTGCTAAAGTTTGTTATGGTAGAAATTGAACAGCCTTTGAGAGATATATACTGTATATATTTATAAAATCATTATTAAAATTTTGAGAAGAAAGAGAGAAAAAGAAATCTTAGTAGCGATGTTAATGCCGGTAATGCAGGTTAGATGATAAAGTTTAACGATGAAAAATTCTTCAGAAGACTGGATGCAAACGGAATGCATATGTGATCTTTTAATGGATAACTTTAAACCGAAGAAAATGTGTATAGATATGTATAAATTATATTAAAAAAATTAAAGATAAAGTATGATAATATGGACTCATTACAAATACGTAAAGTTATGGCCTGAAAATGAGGAACGTGTGTAAATACAAATCCCTCGTAATGTTTCGTGCAACATATTTATTATACTGTAATAGGTGCGAAATAAATAAAAACTAGGAAATATTAAACGCAATTCCGGACGATTTATTTTTTATCGCAACTGCCATCAGAACCGACTTTCTGCATAATAATTACCAAGATATAGTGTGATGATTTGTAATAATGATGTTATCACAAGAGAGATGCTTTTATCTTTAAAAGAAAAACTGATTAAACTTATTATTAAATTGAATGATGAATAATATACACTCTCATATATATAGATCGTGATATTAAAACTATCTAATTTTTTCTACATCATAATAATGATAATAAGATATTTTTATCTAGACGGTTATTTGTTTCGATCTCTTGAGGCTGTTTCCTAATTATCCTATTATCTTATTTGATATATTTTGCTGTTCGACGGTTTTTATGCTCTTCTTGGCCTATCCATCGTGCAAATCTTGCTAAAGCTATTGATATCAGCAACTGGATCAAATTAATATAATGTCTATAACATATTAGTTTTTGCTCGAACGCGCGTGTTTTTGATTTAGGAAAATATGGGATAAAGAAGGAGGATGGTAAATTACGACCGGTATTAAGATAGTATCTGCAATCCAGTTGTCAAGTAGGTTTGTTAAAATAAAACATTGATAAAGAAGAAGTCTCTTGTCTTAGATAATATATGTCTTGATAAAGTCTTTTAAGATAGAGTTTCTTGATATCGTTCAGTACTCTAATTAAAAGCTTAAAGCCTTCAGCTCTTAAGTGATTTCTGTAAATAATTTATAATTTGTATAATGTGAATCGAACTTTCATGTTATATCACTTTAATGTATAGTGTTGGATAAATAAAATAAAGTGTTATACGCGTTTTAATTCATATACGAGGTAAGTATATTTGTAATTAGAATGGCTGTATTACCCATTCTCACTTTTTAAATCAATTTTAAAAATACAGATAATTAGAGGCCAACGCTAAATGTAAGCAAGCAAGATATTTTTCTGAGTATTATTTGCAGTGTAAACATGAACATTTGTTAAGCATTTATTTTCAGCCTAATTACGTGATGTTTTTAGACAGTATGAACAGTGTTTAAAATCTATCATTTAAAAGTGTGATGCATGCATAACATTTAATATTTTTAATAATAATTAGTGGTTTTTAATTATCAGAAATATCGATAACTCGCATACTACTACACATCTTTAGATCTTAAACCGTTCTATATTTGTTTCCCATTCAATGTTTCCAAATACTAGCGGATCTTTTTTGCGTTTAACTCGCGTTGGCGTCTAATTAGCTTCGATTTAATTTCGTATTTTCATCACTAGTTCACATACTTCAATTGCGATTTTACAAAATTTATTGTGTATAAAATACACACGAATATTCTGATAGTAATAGTATGTCCGCAGATTCTATTTTTTTTTACAAAAAAAATACTTTTTATAAAACCTAATAATTTTAAACTCTTAAAAAATTCGTTAGATTATAGATTGTCCTCCGATTCTTTTGAATTATAAAATTTAATTCTTACAATTAGTTATTGTTATTGCTATAATACAGCACGTTTTTTAATAAAATCAACTACAATGAACAATTTGATGCTTTCCCTGTCGAAACATAAACTGATAATATCGACAATGGTCGGTGTGACTGCCGGGACAATATGCGGTATGAGTCTCAAGCATTATAGTGAAAAATCGTGGTCTGATCGAGACATCATGTATCTCAAATTTCCTGGAGAAGTGTTTCTCAGAGTGGTGAATTGTTTAATATTACCGCTTGTTACGTCCAGTATTATAAGTGCTACTTGTAATCTCAGCAAATCTGGTAAGTGTTCATATTGATCAAATTTTTTTTTAAATAGGCAATCATTTGTTTAGCTTTCTCTAATATCTTTTTAAAGAGGAATTAAAAAGATAATTTATACATATATATATTTATATATCATCTTTATATGTATGTATTATGAGACATTTCAGAAAAAAATTGTACAAAAAGAGTAATATGGATAAAATATGACTTCTTAGAATTTATTATAATTGCATAGGACCAATTGGATTGATGGCATTATACTATTATCTAACGACTACTACAATTGGAATAATTTTATGTGTTATACTTGTTGAGACTATTCGGCCGGGCGAATTAATGAGAAATGAAAACATTATTGTGTCGACGTCCACAAAAACCTTTATGACAGTAGACACAATTTTAGATTTATTTCGGTAATTGAATGAATTTAATCGACAATTAAACAAAATCTCCGTTATCACATTTTTAGAACTTTTTTATTGAAATTAATATGTATATATTTTCGCGAGGAAGTATAATTTAAAATAAAATACATAATGTAATAAGAAGCGAGCTGAAATCATTTTCAGCTCTTTTTTCTGCAGATCAGAAATAATTTGTTTGAAAGATAAAAAATCGTCTGTTTACGTTTTTTACGAAAAATATATGAAAGTTCTTTACTTTTTTAGTGTTTACAAATATTTTGTAGAATAATGAAAGAAGTCTCATTTGTAAAAAAATCGCATATATATTTCTTTTTTTTCATATTATTACAGTAATTTGTTTCCTGAAAATATAGTGCTCGCATGCATGTATCAGGTATGTTTCTTTACGATTTCCATATGCACATATATGATTTGCAATATTTAAAAAAGTGTGTGTGTGTGTGTGCGTGTGCGTGCGTGCGCGCGCGCGCGCGTGTGTGTGTGTGTGTGTGTATATATATATATATATATATATATATATATACACTTTTTTAAATACTGCAGATATATATATGTATATTTGTTTCTTTTTTATTATAGTATCAAACCATTCTGGAAAAACCAACTAATGCAAATACATCAGGTACTACATGATTGCATCTTTTTTCTTGCAGCCTTTTATCTTTTATTTATAAACTTGTAATCGTCTTTTCTTCAATTAAATTTTAATTTTTAAGATATAGTTAGAAAGAATTGTTTAAGTATATGGTCTGTGTAAATAAATGATATTAAAATGAATGATAATGAAAATATTAATTGCTATCTGTAGCTAAACCGTCTAGCATATATAGCATTAATATTATATATTTTTTGTATAACAACTAAAGATATATTTCAATACAGTATCAATAGAAGAATGGTCCATAACAAGCGAATATGTGGCAGGCACAAATGTCTTGGGTTTAGTATTTTATAGTCTATTACTGGGTCTGGCAATTGGAAATATAGGTACAAAGGGAAAGCCATTATCAGATTTTTTCAATTCCCTGACTGATGTTATGATGAAAATTATGAAATGGATAACGTTGTACGCATCACTATTATATTACTATCGAATTAGAGATAAATTTAAAATATTCACTCTACTAAATTAATCTTATTCCTTCTGTAACTATCCATATTTATGTAACTTTTTAATAACAAATATTTTAATAATAATATATAAAATTATACAATATATTATACATTATAGATTCTACGCATTAATAACGATAACATTTTTTGTTTAGAATAGCACCGATAGGCGCATCATTTCTTATCGCTGGTCGAATTCTGGAAATCGATGATTTTAGTAATATGATAAGTCATTTAGGATTTTACATTTTAACCGTGTTTATTGGTCTGATACTGCAAGGTTTTGTAATACTACCCTTCCTTCATTGGATTATCACGCGCAAATCATCTTATAAAATTATATCCAAACTTGGCCCATCCTTTGCAACAGCTATTGGAACATCGTCAAGGTACATGACAAGATAAAAGAAATTATCGATATACAAAAAAAGTCTGAAAAAATTTTATTTTCTAATTAAGTATATAATCTAGCACAGCCACAGTTCCATACACAATACGATGTTTAGAAGATCTGGGAATAAATCATAAAATTACAAAATTTCTTGTACCAATTGGAGCAGCAATAAATATGGACGGGATAGCCCTATACGAAACTGTTGGAGCGATATTTATTATACAATTACGTGGATTACAATTTTCATTATTTAAAATAATAGTCATCAGGTTTGTGATAAAAAAAATGGACGCAACTGAACTATGACACAATAATGGTTGGAGAAATATTCTCTCGCATAAAATTTGGAAATTTTAAACGTTATATATAACTTTAAAACTTTGTTGTTTTTTCTCTTTTCAGTATTACATGTACAGTATCGTGTGTGGGTGCTGCTGGGATACCTAGCGGTGGTTATATGATGTTAATAATGGTGTTAAACTCTATAGGAGTACCAGTCGAAGATGTTACATTGATTATCGCTACTGATTGGTTTGTGTAAGTATATATAATGGTATATCAATAATTTTTTTTTCAATATAAAAGCAATATCTTTTCTTTTTTAAGGAGATAAATTTATTTAAAGAAATATGAATTATTCATGAGTAATAAAAAGGAAATGCTTTGTTTTTCAGTGACCGTTTTAGAACGACAATCAATATTATAGGCGATGCGCTTGGCGCAAGCATTATATCTCACTTTTGTAAAGAAGACTTAGAAGATGAAATGTATCCATTGAAAACAAACGTTATTTGCAATGTGCCCATATAAATGTTTCTGCATAATGAAGTTTGGAATAGATATGACATAGCATCATGTAGTAACAAGATTTACTAAGCATTGTGTAATAATTTTCTCGATCAAATTTTTCTTATAATGCTCATTGTGCTCAGTATAAATATAAATAATAAAGGAAAATTGAAAAAAGGGAAGAATAATATGCCATAGTATACATAATGTAGCATTATAAAACAGCTATATTTTTACAAAGATAAAAAATGTCTATTGTGCGATACATTTTTTTTTCATATGTCTGACCATTACATTATCAAGAGTTTAAATTTAGTTAAATTGATTTATTAAATGTAACTAAAATTTTTAATTTAAATATAGTTTAAATTACTATTGGATTATTGTACAAGTAATATAATTCAATTGTATAAATTGTAATTCTCATAATTGAATTATATAGACTTTTGTAGCACCTTTGTGTAGTAAAAATATAATAGTCTATGCATTACAAATAGTTTAAATTTATAATAGTTTTAGAATTTACGTAAAAAAATGTTTTTTTAAGTAAAAAATTTTTATGCAGAGACATTGATATAGTTTTTACGAATTTTTCTCATTTAGTTGGACAATTACACTTTTCACTTCTGTGTATGCCTGAAGACCATATTCTCCGAGTTCCCTACCATGTCCGGACATTTTATAACCACCAAACGGAACTTGAGGAATAATAGTATTATATGTGTTGACCCTAAACATAAAAATTAATAGAACGACGAGATTAATTTAAATCCTTTTTTAAATCACAATTTATCTTTTATACGATATTTTTAAACAAAACTTACCATACAGTACCAGCACGAAGTCCCTGCGTTATATAATTTGCTTTGTCGAGATCTTTCGTGAAGACTGCAGCAGCTAATCCATAATCGGTGTTATTAGCGCGTTCAATAACTTCGTCCAAGTCATCAAATTTTAGGATCTGTTGAACCGGTCCAAATATCTATCGACAAAAAGAGCATCATGTAGATTTTTTAATGAATATGTTACATCATTTTTAAATTAAATATAATCATATATATATATCATTTTTTAATTAAATATAATTTCAAAATGCTCACTTCTTCTGTAGCTATAGTCATATCATCTTTAACATCTGCGAACACTGTTGGGGCAACAAAGTATCCTTTATCGCCAACGCGTTCGCCACCTGTTATTAAGCTAGCACCTTCTTTTTTACCAGATTTTATCATATCCATAATTTTATTTAATTGCTCCTCATCAATCTAGTTAAATAAAAATGATATTAATTACAATTATTAATAAATTGATTAACATTGCTATATATCATCTGTATAAATTCGAATATACCTGTGGACCTTGTTCTATTTTCAAATCAAACGGATCTCCCACGGTCCTAGATTTAGCGCGAAGCGCGCTTTTTTCTACGAACTCGTCATAAATGTCTGCTTGAACAAAAGTTCTAGATCCTGCGCAACAACATTGACCCTAATACAAATATGAGAAAAACAAGTAAAGCATCAAAGAAAGAATGGAAAACTCAAATGGAACAGGATATTATATGCCAATATAAATTACCATATTAAAGAATAATCCAAAATGTGCTCCTTCCACTGCATAATTTAAATCCACATCCTTAAGAATGATATTAGGAGATTTTCCGCCTAATTCTAATGTAGTTCTTTTTAAATTGTTTATAGCAGCATTTTGATTTATTAACTTGCCGACCTCTGTAGATCCCGTAAATGCGATCTTATCAACTTTATTGTGAACCACTAATGCAGCTCCGGTTTTACCATATCCGGGAACAACATTGATTACTCCATTAGGAAATCCGGCTTCCTTGGACAATTGTGCTATATAGAGTGCTGTTAATGGAGTTTGTTCTGCAGGTTTTAGAATAACAACGTTTCCTATAAAAAGTAAAATAATAACTTAAAATTAAATTTCATGGGAAACTGACTTATTATTCCAAAGATATTGCAAGCATTTCGTTAATTACTATAATGTAATGAAATACATAATTTGTAGACTCGTGGTCACCTGTAGCTAAAGCTGGTCCTAGTTTCCAAGCCATCATCAGCATTGGAAAGTTCCATGGAATAATTTGACCACATACTCCTACTGGCTCGTGTCTAGTATATGCAAAGACTTTTCCATCAGCTGGTATAACTTTTCCATGATTCTTGTCGGCCCATCCTGCATAATATCTTAGCACTTGGACACTAAAGGGAACGTCCACATGATAAGCAGATGAATAAGGTTTACCATTGTCTAAAGTTTCTAGAGACTGAAATATATATAATAAAGATAATAGAATTATTATTTGTAAAAATCAAACACTATTTTTCGAAAGTTTGATCATTTTGGGCATAATCTGCCGTTCTAGGATATCGTAGCTATCTCGCAATCACCTTTTTCCGATTTTATCGATTTCATATTTGGATGATAAGATCGATAACGTCTCACGCGTTAATTATTATAATATATGTATATATATATCTGATTCTTGGAGATTGAAAACGGTGCGATATTTCATTGATCTCGAACGTTATCGCTGAGATAATATCTTAGAATTGCGGATGATAACCATACGTATTGTTTCAATCAATCATAGGAATCGTTGTTGCATTAATCACTCTTGTCTCAAAGCAGGCGATTTGGATTTACTAATTTGGGTCTATCGTCTTAAAGTAGAGGTATCTGAGTCGCAATCTTGAAACAATGAAAAGGAAAGCAAACAAACTCTCGTTAGAGATTTTTAGTTTTCAGTTTTGAAATTCAAATTCAGTGACTGGAAAATGAACACGAAAGTAAAAATCGCGTTTCTAGTAGAATTTTATTTCCTAATAAATTTCTATTTTTTGTTAGTTAAAATTAACGTCAGAGAGTTCATTTTATTTTTACTTAATATTACTTCAAATTATTAATTATATAATATCGATGCATTTTTTATTTTATATTACATATATTAACCGCATCATGTATTGTCATTTTTGTAAAATATTTTTATAAAACAAAATAATTTTCTAAAAACATATTGAAATTTTTTGCTTATGCGTCCTCTTTCCTAATTAACGGTTCAAATCTATTTTTCAAGTTTTACATACGATAAAGAATTTCAAAAAGTCTAGGAATTTAACAATCTGCGACTCGGCGGACGCGTGGTTGGACCGAGAAGTAATATTATGTAATCGTAATAATCGGTTAATTGTATAATAATGTAAATTGTATTAATTATTCGATCGTTTTTCTCGTTTCGATGAAACGTCGAAACGAGAGATTGCCACATGTGTAAATGCGATACAATTATCTCTCTTATAATCTTCTCAAGATATTTTCGTATTGCTTGACTTCTGTAGAAGGGCACGCAGCTTTAGATAAGGCTGCGTGCCTCAAATACACAATTTATTTTTCGATTCACTTTTTTGAAAAATTTCCGCAATATTTTATAATATTCGCTAACTTTTCTAACATTCTAATAAATATAAATATAAGAAAGAGAAAGAAAGAGAGAGAGAAAGAGAGAATATTATCATATTAAAAAATATTGAGTTAATATTTTACCGCAAGATATTTGTGATCACGCTCTATCAAATCTGCTAATTTGTTTAAAAGAACTCCTCTATAAGATGCATCCATAGTTCTCCATGGTGAATGCCTTTTAAAAGCCTTATTAGCAGCTTGTACGGCAAAATCAATGTCCGCGCTATCGCCTTCTTGTACTTCGGCGATTACTTCGCCAGTAGCAGGATTGATGGTGGGAAATGTCTTTTCATTTTTAGATTTGTGCCATTCATTATTGATAAATATCTGTAACAAAAGATATTTTTTTATTGTATAACGATAAACTTAATATATTTATACTATAAAGCAAGAATAAATGTATATGATTATGCTTTAATTATTTTAGATTAGAGAAAAATATTATCAATTATGTAATATAAATTAGATTTCTCATAAGAATTATTGGAACATAAAAGTGACTATAACTAAACAAGAAGACCAGAGATTTTATGTTTATATATTTCTTTTTATAAAATATTTTATAACATAAATTAACTGTTCTCTTTATTTCTCCAACTAAAAATAATGACTATAGATATCTGTCTCTTACATGTTATGAAATGCAAGTTATTAAAATTATTAATTTCTCACTATATATGCTATTGTTCCTAAATATTTTATTAAAAAAGAAATATCTACTATAGGTAGTTTTCCATATGTTAAACCTGATTAAATAACAGTGTGTTACAATCTTATTCTTAACTGATTATGATTAAAATTTCGTATAATTAGTGAATAAATCTTATTAAATCAAACTTCATTGCTCGAAAAAAATACCACAATTTTGATTAGTCACATTACTGACAAAAGAATAAAATGTCTCTGCAATATACGCGCGCGAACGGCTATCATATTCACGATTGAATTCAAATTATTAAATTCGAGCTTGATTGTTATGGTCTATTATCTTTATATTTAAGAAATAAAAATGCCATACACCATACTTTGCACGGCGATCAAATACTATTAAGTGAGGGCATGCAGATTTCTTGTCGAAAAAAAATGTATAACAGAAGTGATCTCTTACATAACGCAAAATCTATTAACATATATTAGCTAAATATCTTAATGTGTAATAAAATACATATATAATATATATGATTCATAGTATCATTTTTATGTTCAGCTTTTTACATTATTCATTTCAAAAGACGATGTTTCTCCAATCTCAATTTTAAATAAGATTTCGATTATGCAGTGAGATTTTAAGAAAAATTATTCTAAGAGTATATATTACATTGTATAAATTCTTTTCATATAAATTATGCTTCACAAACAATTGTCATGTTTTCAAAGATACTATAAAAATTAGAAAAATTAATAAATTATATTATTTAAAAAGGGACAAGAATTAACTTCTGTATATTTTTTTTGTTTGTTTATCTGCTGCTAACAAAAAGAACAAACTAAAAAATATGACAAAGCATAATTTTAAAAATGAAAAATGCATATTTAGAAATATATATATTCAGCTTAAATCATTATAAAAGTTAGTTCGCGTCAACTTAAACTAGTTATTTTTAAATTAACGTTAACTTATTAACTTTTTTATACAAGTTACGAGTAAAATAATTCATTAATATTAAAGTCGTGTGAAAATGATTGATTGTAATGCGAATATTTCATTTGTCGAACAACAAGTATGTGTCGCTGTTGGATAGATAATTAACTTTTAACTTTATAATAAGTAAATAATTTTTTAACTTAATTTTAAATAAATTAATTTTCGTTTAAGTAACTTTTAATGTAAACTTAATTAATTTTTTAAGAAAAGAAATTAACTTACCCAACCCTGATAAGAAAATGAATTAAGAAATGAAGGATTTATAAATATCAATAAAAAATATTTCAATGATATAGATAAAATAGATACAGATATTATACTACAGTAATGCGGCATTTTCGAACGCAAAAAAGCCACGAAAAAAAACGAAACTATCCTTCTTTCGAACAAATTTTAATTTTCCGAAATAAATGATGCACGAATATGCGTAAATGAATGTATTTAAGGCTTCATTTTTATAATGATAAATTTACGAGGTTTGATCGAAAAGTATGCGACTTTATTTTTTTTTGCGTCAATCAGCTGTAGCTCGGTGACGGGACTAGTGCAGCGTGCAACCTTAAACCTTATTGCACAGCATGATTTTTTGTCAGACCGCGTAGCGCGTAGCCCTTCAATCGCTGCTAGGCAGCCGTGATGGTTGCACATATATTTATCAGGGTCCGCCGCACTTCGTGTTTCCAGCTAAAATGATCGACCGTGTTCTGCAAAAAATCTGTATTAAATTTTGTCAAAAACTTGGTGATACGCAATCAGAGACAATTGAAAAGATACAAAATTGAATGACAAAATTTAATGCGGGATATCGAGTCTGTAATTCAAGTGAGGGTGAAAATTAGCACAAAAATGAACGAATTTACTAGAAAATTTATAATTTCATTAAACCAAGTCCAAACCTAGTCAATTTGCTTATTTTTGTAATTTTTACCCTCACTTGAATTACAGAATCGATATCTTGATTCTTTATTGAACACGTCATTTTAGCTGGAAACATGAAATGCGACGGACACTGAATATACGTGCACTACGCAGCTGGCAAAAAATCATGTACACGTGCAGTAGTCATGCTGCGCTAATCCTGTCACCGGGCTGCAGAAAAAAGAATACGGTCGGATATTTTTTGATCAGATCTCTATTTATTATATAATCTCATATATAATAAATGAGCGTGTGCACGTATGTATATTCTTCTTCTATTGTGGTTTTTTTTTTTTAGCAAAAAATGTGTGTGTGTGTGTGTGTGCTCCAACAAATAGTGCATGTCATCTATCTCCGAGATATATCAGAATTTTTTATGATAACCCATCATTGATAAAGGGGATATAATGTTTGTTTGACGTCAATTATTGCAAAATTATAAGATACGATTATAATCATTTTTATATAGCAACTTGCGCGAATTTCAATACTTACACCAGTGTATAAAATCGGCGGGCTTACATCCGGAGCTGGCAAAGTTGCGGACGAGAAACATCGCAAGTGTTGACATTTTTTCAATATACGCAACATGCCGGTGAATAATGTTTACGCGCAAAAGGAGTGGAGGAAACTGTGAGAGATTTGTTCGATAGGGGCTCGGAATCATAGACATAGTATATCTAGACCGAGCGTTTGCCTTTATTTAAGGAGTGGGGGTAAAGATGCACGTAGAAAAGGACATACTCTGTTTCGTGCCCCTTGCGTTCTCTCTCGCTCGCACGTAGCATAGCGTACTCTTTCGCGGTCTAGATATACTATGTCTATGGGACTGCCTTTGTTTCCCGATAGAAAAACATGTCGGAAGGAAGTAAGAAAGAAAATCATAGTTGCCTCTCTCTTGTGAGTAACTCTGCTCAAAAGTGCGCATGCACGGCCATGTGTGTGTACACAAAGGTATGTATACTACAGACACGATGCTTATATGTGTAGTTACTCCCAAGAGAGAGGCAACTACATTTTCTTTCTCACTTCCTTCCGACACTTTTCAGCCTGCTATTCCCCTTCCATTTATATATGTTCTAAGGGTGCACCCGAGTGGGGAATCGGACCATAAATCCTATGCTGTGTTCCGATTCCCCACCCGGGTGCACCCAATTATAGTATATGTCACGTATACTATAATATCGGGTGCACCCGGGTGGGGAATCGGAACACAGCCCTACGTGATAGAAAAATAATAGTGACATTTGTCGAGTGAATTTGCATGATTTACATCTTTTTGTTTCTTATATAAAATTGTTTAATGGTAACTTATGATTATTTAATAGATAAAAAAAACTTGAAAATTTTATAAATAGCTTTTAGAGGTGGATCATTTATATTTGATAATTAACAACACAATTAATGCTAAAGTCGCATTGTCATATTATTAAAGAATAGGAATATATAATAGATGAAGGAGAGTTTTATCTTACGGAACTGACTAGGTCAATTTGAAGTTGATAGATTACAATTTATACATTTTTTTTCTCTCTGTTTTTGTGGGTACAGTTATATAATAGTGTATATATATATGGGGAAAAAATTAAAAATTGGCTGCATTTCAGAAAAAAATGGCAGAAGGTTGAAATTTGGTATAGCCCAGTAAATTATGAAGTAAAGTAAGCCACTAAAATGAAAAAATAAAAACGTATATTATAAAAACATTAATTTGCCAAGCTGGCAGTTTCAAAGACTTTTTTAGTTTTTAAATGATTTTACTGTTATCTATAAAAAATGTTGATGACTTGAACTTGTTATTTATGGATTGCCTTATTATTTGACTTTGGTTTTGACGTTACCAATTACCCTCTCTTGAGAGATAAATAAATTTGCGTTGCAAGTGTTTGGTCAATTTCACACATTTTCGAATTTTAGCTCGGAGGGGGGTTCATTTGCGGACCCATGTTCATAAGAAAAAAAAGTCTTATTTTGACCTCTAGAATACGCTCCTAAAGTTTAGTGCATCATTTCAGATACACCCTGTATATATATATATATATATATATAAGAAAAAATGTAAAAAAATTTGTCATTATAATAGTTATAAATTCAAAATAAATCAATACAAAATATTATGTATATTGTATGCGTAGTGTGAGCATAAAGTAATTGTGAGAGCATACACATAATATATATATAATGTACATTGATAAAATGTCATCTGTGTAAATATACAGATTTGATCTTTTCTGATATGATCAAATGTCAGGGACACAAAACTGTGGATGTTGTTTCGTTAAGATAATTATAATGATATAGATGAGATAAAAAATAGTTCTTAACTTAAGTTTTGTTTTACAGACTGAATATTTAATTTCACATATAAACCAATCTAAAAGAAAAAAAATCTTATGCATATTATCATTTAATATATTGGCAAATCTATGAGTTATATTAAACACAATTGATACTTTTTCTTTTCTTTTTAGATTCACGATTTTCTTCCACTGTCTTGTCATGATTTCTTTTGTTTAATGATCTCGAATTTATGGATTTATGTGAATGCCCATTTTGAAAAACTTCCATATCATTTATGTCATTTTCTGGTAAATTGACATTGCTAAATTTAAATAATTCTATATCTGTAGACATTGTTCTTGCGCGTAATTCACGTGCTTCTTTCTTCAATAATTGCTTCTCCTTTCGCTTATTTTTTTTCTTTTTCTTCTTTTGTACATTATTATTATGCGCAGTTTCTTCTACTTCTTCTGAACCACTAGTTTTTCCATTTTGAGATGTCACATTGCTTTGTTTGCCATTACTTTGTAAAGCAATATCAGTTGAACCATTCAACTGATTATTATTCTTTTTTGATTTCCTGATGACAAAAGTTATATTGAACACAAAGCAATTTTAAGCTGAATATATATAATAGAAAAATGAGAATCTCTGTAAATTACAAATTATATTATTACACTTACACATCGAATGGAATTCCTATCTGTTTTGCTAACTTTTTATATGCATTTTTCAGATCCGTGGAAAAAATGCTTTGATTTTCATACATTGTTACAAGCGTCGTTTTAATAGTTTGCCAATTCCACGCTTGTGGCAAATAATGTGTGTGAACAGTATGCAACAATGTCAAAAGAAGACCAATAAATTTCTGAACCTTCTTTTGTACACTGGTATCATTATATGGAATAAATTGTCCATTATTGCTTACATGCGAATTGCATAACTCATTACACATGTCTATGGTATTTTTGTAAAGCGTTGTTTCTAATTTTATTCTCATGTCGGCATACTTTGTGTCCATATTCAACAATCGATTATTTCTATATAAAATTATTAATAATTCAAGCGCCTGACTTCTACGGAAGTATCGAATATTGCTATCAAAAGCAGAGTTTACCTAAGTAATCAAATAAAATGATATAACAAAAAATATTTTATATTGCGAGACATATTTTTTTAATATACATACCAATAGAAGTGCTAGCTGCCAATTATCTTCCCAGCATAGTTGTAAGACACTCTTAAATAATATAAGTGAAAGTATGCAGTCCCTTTTTTTCATGAATGTAGTTAAGTTTTTGCTATAAAGTTCTACAACATTTTTGCTGGATAAGTTTGCTTGTTGCACACATTTTACAAGAAAGGTACAGCATTCAGCCAAGTTTTCACTTATTTCCTGACAGATCAAAGTAGAACGCTCTCCCTTTTCGATTAGAGCCTTAAAAAAGGATCATGTTAAAACAGTAAACTTATATATATATATAATTGTTACAAATAATTACCTTCAACACTATCATTAACAAAGTATCATCAACATCTGTCGTATCTCCAAATTTTTTTATCATTGATAATTTTTTTAAGCAAGTCTGAACTCTATGTTTGAGTGGTTGCTGATGTGGATCCTTTATACAGAATTCTAAGAGAGTGAAAAGTGGTATAATCATATCTATAGCAATTGCCATAGATGGGCAAGTCCCTAAATAAATATTCAACAAATCTATGACACGAATTCTGAAATGTGTCAATGCTTCACTTGTCTTTTCTTGTTTTTTAGAACGAACTTGACGGTTCTCACGTAAGACCTTAAAAGCTGCTGCTAACGATTCATTTAAACGTTTGCCTTCCTCTTCACCTATTTGATCTACATCGATATCTTCATCATCAGTTTGGGTTGCAGCATCACCTAGAGCTTGACGTACTGCCATTCTCAATTTATCAGTCACTGTTTCATCGTCATCGTTATCGTTATCATCATCGTCATTGTCATCGTCATCATCGTCATCGTCGTCGTCATCATCTTCCTCTTCCTCCTCATCCTCCTCCTCCTCATCATCATCATTATCATCGTTATTATCATCATTCTCATCTTTATTTATATTAGATTCGGACCTACTTTCTTTTGATAAAACTTTACTATTTAAAACATTTTCTTCCTCTTCATTATTTGATTCACTTTCTACATCTTCATTATCATTTTGCTTTATGGTAAGTGTACTTTGATTATTTTTTATATCTAGAATCTAAAACAAAAATTATATTGTTACACATATTCAATTCTTTAAATTCTTTATTTCATAAACTTAATAAATTGATAACTCTTTTCTTATTAAATGGGTGACAACTTACAGCCAATATCTGATAAACAGCAGATGGAGTCAGATATGGACAGATATGTGGAAAGACACTATCAACCAATGAGCGCAATAAATGATTATTCCTGGATAAAAGGGATAATAAAAGATCTACTATTACTTCAACCCATTGTGGTTCCTCTTGTGCAGGTGTGTCATCAAGCTTTTTATGTTCCTTGGGCTTTTTAATTAATCTCTCATAACAACATTGAAGTTCGTTAATTGACATAATTGCCATTTCAGGATCTGAGAATAATTGTAGACTCATGTGTAAATTCATCGTATGAAATATTGGTAGAGCAATTGCATTTTTTGTATTCTTTTCTAGTTTTTCAATTAAATCTATTGCTCTTCCCCAAGCATCAGATGCTGCGCCACTCAATGGTGATCTTAACTGTATCACATTGGATTGTAATTTGGAGTTCAAATCATGAACAAATGTACTTAATAAATTTCGTACATCATCCAATTTTGGCAATTTATGATCCAACGCACGATAGAACGAATTTTTAAATTGTGCTAAAAATAATTAAATATATTTTAGCACATATATAAACAATAAGTTTTCGAAAAATATAAAAAACTTACGCGCTAATTCTATTCCAACATTTGACACTTCACACAATCCATAGTTGAATAGAAACATCAGTTGTGCAAGCTTCCACTCTTGATCTAAAAGTGTCTCTCGATGACCTATTAACCTAAATTAGTTAAAAGACATGTGTTTAATGCAATAAATATTAAGTTATGTTTTAAGCTATTTGTTCATAATAGATATTGTCACTTTTATGTTATATAACTATTCTAGGTTCGTATTTACCTTGTTAATAGTTGTGCTGCATAACTTCGCTCAGCATTTGTCCAAAATTCTACTTTTATATTTTCTCTTTCTTTAATTGTTTTGTTTTCTATAATATCTCTATACAATTGACATAATTTTTTAACACCATCTAATTTGAGATTAGCTGTAATTTTTTGGATCATCTTAATACCTGTTTTCTTTTCTATCATTAGATCACCAGGATATAATATGAGCTTTTTCAATATATTTAACTGTGTCTTTGTCTTGATATCTTTGTCACTTGTAGCAGATATCACCAAATGTAAAACTTTTCTAAACGCTGTTAAAACTTCATCATTATTATTCCTTTTACAGTTAGAAAATCTCTTTAACATGTGTTGCAAGAGATTTGGTGATAATAATGATGGAATTACAGTTTTATCTGTAATATTAGAAAGTATCAATTGTAAAATTTCTGTAGCAATATATTCATCACTCTTTGATGGTTTTGTAAATTTCCGATCAATGGCTTTCCAGAAGTCTGTTATAAGTTCAGTCAATGTTAACTTTTCACAAAATAATTTAAACACTGGATGTCGATAAGAAACGATTCTAGGTAAGGCCTGAATAATAATAGAAAAATTAGATATAAGTATTATATAGTAATACATAATCTCAAATATGTTTTCATCTTTGTTAGAGATTATTCTCATATTCTATTTAATGACATACCATTAATAGTTTCACAACATCTTCTATAGACTCTTTAGCAAGAATCTGTTTCACACCAAAGTGCTCTTTTAAAAACTTATTAATTAGAGATGGATATTTATCTCCAACAACAAGCAGTAGATAAAATGTATCCAAGGTTTGTTCAGACCATGACTTGCCAATTTCCTTCTCGACAATTGGCCAAACAACTTTCTTCATAGATTCAACATCAAGCTGAATAATAAATTCACTGAGAAATATGATAGAGATAAATGATAGATAACTGCGTTGTTTGCCAGCATTGAAAAGAATTTCAGTGATCTGTTGTTGTATCTCATTCGTACTTTGAATGAGTAACTTGGATCTTATTAATGCACCGCATAGTAGTATACGTCCCATGTATATATCAGCATTTTCCTACAAAAGTTTACATAATATTTTAATATTATAAAATAATCATACTAAAAGTATAAAACAAAAAAATAAAAAGTTATAATAAAAATCATACACTTTTAGAATTTTTGCCAATTGGATGCAATTGAGTATTTGTTACAGATAAAAGTTTGTCTATTGAAGTTTCAGGATGCATCATTAAGAAAACTGTCAATGTGCTGTAATTCCCTTTTCTTGTAATTACTTGTGAAGATCCTAAACTACGCACTAGTCTACTTAGTGCATACTTCAACTCTTTGTCATCTTGATCCTGTAAAGATAAATTAATGTTGCAGTCACGTTCACGTAATAATTTGTTAAATACTTCATATAAACTGGATTTTTGTTTCTCTTTTCACGTTCAGATATAAAATAAAATAGCTCAATATATGTGAGGTTATGCAAATTAACTTACCGTATCATATTCACATAAATGATTTAATAACGCGACTCCAGCGTTTAATCTTGCAGAATCATTGTTATTCTTCAGTTTGTCGAAGTTATTCAATACGATAGAATTCATTCTGTTAATTTATTATCGTTTAGGGTTATCCAACACTATTTTTCCCACATGTGCGTATCATGCAGTACATACGGTGAATGATAGCCATTTTGATTTTCAGGTATTTTATTTCAAGACTAGGCTGCGTTCGGAAACATTACCCGTGCGCACACGAGCTTCGTTCTATCTTTATTCAACTTTTAGTAAATAACAAAGAACGGCGCTCGTGTGCACACGGGTGATGTTTTCGATTTTCCGAACGCAGTCCTAGGGGTCGATGATGTACTTTTTCCCTAGGGCGGAAACATGAAAGGCTTCTTTTTCTTCTTCTTTCTTTTATGGCTGGTTGGGCATTAGTCGCCCATACACCATTGGCCGCGTTCAGCAGAGAAAGCGCTCAGTTATCGTCTTGTCAACACTCGACGTTGATTCGTTGGTTCTAAAAGTAAGAACCAATCACATTCGATTGCTACTAAGCAGTTTTCTCTGCTGAACGCGGCCATTGTTTCTTATGGGTTTGTAGAATATAAGCAAAACTCCTCTAAGAGAGGAGGGAGTCCAAAAAAAGGTCCAGACAAAGGACATACGCAGCACGCAAAAACGTCCGAACCCGACACGTTATCAGTCGGAACTAAAAACATGAAAGGCTTCTTCTTCTTCTTTCTTTTATGGCTGGTTGGGCATTAGTCGCCCATACACCATTGTTTCTTATGGGTTTGTAGAATATAAGCAAAACTCCTCTAAGAGAGGAGGGAGTCCAAAAAAAGGTCCAGACAAAGGACATACGCAGTACGCAAAAACACGTCCGAACCCGACACGTTGTCAGTCGGAACTTTAAACATGAAAGGCTATGTTCCGATCATAGACATAGTATATCTAGACCGAGTGTTGAGGAGTGCGGGAGGAGTGGTGGCCGATGCCCACGTAGAAAAGGACATACTCTGTTTCGTGCCCCTTGCGTTCTCTCTCGCTCGCACGTAGCATGACGAAAGAGAGCGCTATGCTCTGTGCGAGCGAGAGAGAACGCAAGGGGCACGAAACAGAGTATGTCCTTTTCTACGTGGGATCGGCCCCCACTCCTTAAATAAAGGCAAACGCTCGGTCTAGATATACTATGTCTATGGTTCCGATTCTCCACTCGGGCACATAATATGCTGTATGCTGTGTTCCGATTCCCCACTCGGGTGCACCCGATATTATAGTATATGTCACGTATACTATAATATCGGATGCACCCGGGTGGGGAATCGGAACAGTCCAGGAGGCCAAGATTGTTGCTTAGCAACCGTTTGAAAGATGCAACAAAATCTAAAAATCACAGATGCGTATACATGTCTAATTTTAATTTTCACATTCTACGATACTTTCTACATAAGTGATAAATGAGTTCCTTAAATACGAGACAATATATGGCGATTGCGATCTTGCAATATGTTATATTGTTTTTTGATATTTGTGTAAATTCATTCGCAAGCTTTGCCAGACAGCATCCGACAGATTTGTTGGTACTTTATGTGTATGTAATAATTTTTACTACATTTTTATTATCATATTATTATCAGAATTTTGTTTGATCATTGTACTATTTTTTTCTTTAGGATCCAAGATTTTTGCCTTATTGCAGCCCTCACCCTTCTCTTGGTGAACTTCTTTTCTACCTATATTTTCCAGGTGAGAACCATAATAGCAGTTTTTTCATATATATATATATATATTATATCCATAAAGAGTTTCTAGTTTTATACTACAAAAGAAATGTATTTAACAAAAACATGTAAAGCACATCTGAAATTATCTTTCAGGCAGGTTTGATACAGCTATTATATACAAGATTCCGTATGACATTGATATTGTGTATAATATATATGATATTATCAATAAGTTTGCATACATGGCATATTACTATACATTGGTCAGCACCATTAAAACATTATTGGACAAAAGGATTTCATATTCTTTATTCTATACACAGGACAGGTAAAACATCAGAAAACTTGAAAGAATATCTCTCTTTGATAAAGATATTATGATTTAAAGTTTTATATAAAGTTGCAGTGTTGTATTATTATTTCTATAAGAGAGCCTCTTTGAGAATTGGTGATCCAAGATTTTACAAAGGCTCTGTCTGGGTACAAAAACAATTGAGTATACCATAACTAAAATAAAAATTTGAATGATATACAAAGAGATTATAAAGTGTGTGCAATCCTAGTAATATAAATGTAAGAATACATCTGTTTATATTTAAAATTTACATTACATTAATTTTAAGCTACTTGTGCAGTACCTTTGTATTTATATAAATTTATATAATTACATTACATAGATAAAACAATGAAATTGGCACGCAATTCATATATGTCAAAATATATCTAAATTACATTCGTGTATTATACATATACAATTATATTTACATTTTTATATATACTATGTAAAAAATTTCTATTATAAAGTGTCTTTATACATTCTTTTTTATCTTTAAAATCACGAGAAAAGGACAATTTTATATATTATTGAAAAATAATTATATCTATATACACATTAATGAAAAGTAAATATGTCATTATTCTGTGAGAGATATTCCCTATACTGATTTTTACATTGCTATTTTCTAATGTGTATGTGTGTGCATATATATATATATATATATATATCCATTTGTTTAACCATATAAGATCTCAATACCAAGTTTGAATCACTTGTAGAACTTTTTAATACTTATGATCTCTATATAACATCCCGAAATGTACAATTTCTTGTTAATAAGAATGTCCAATTACCTTTTAAGAAAATTAATTTAAGAAAATAAGAAAAAATATAAATTTATTATGAGAGAGAGAGAGAAAGATATGAAACTTATTTGTTTATTGTTGTGTACCAATACCAAATTTGTATCAATATAAAACTTTAAAAGAGTTTATATCCTCTAAACGCATACTTCTTTTTTCTTAATATAAATTGTGATAGCATAAATTTATAATAAATTCATAATAAATTTATAAAATTGTTTTACATGTGCATAATATAATTGCAAACAAATAATTCTAATGACATATGATGCTTGTGTAAATGAGAAAGTATGCTTATAGGAAATATTACAGTAAATATTATTGGTTTTTACAAATTGTATAATAATATACTAATCATATTTAATACATAGTGCAAATTGAGTCAAATCAAATTACAACCAATTAACTGTATTCTTATATTCAAGGCAATAATCCACTTTTAGAAATAACACATTGAATGTCTCTCATTGTAATTTCTGTTAAACTGTTAACATAAATTAGTTATATTATATTTGCAACAAATAAATCATAATACTTTTAAATTTCTAAATAATATTAGCACATTGAATACTGTCATCAGTGAGATAAATGCACTAGTGCTGTCAGTATAAATCAAATTATCTCTACATCTGGATAAGGTACCTAAAGTACGCTGTTACTCAAATTCACAGACAATATCCAAGTATTACCCGATTTCTTCGATATTACCTGGGTACTAAAAATTGCTGATAATATCCGAATATTTTGGAATTTAATAATCGATAATTACATATATGTTCTGATATATTATTATATATCTTTCATTAAAGAATGGTAATCTGTAATTAGTGGGTACAAATTATGGAAATTGTATGTCATTTTTACTCTTATTTAATTTTTAATGATATTGGGCCTCTCTTATTTAATATTTTCAGATGCGGAATGAACAAAATAGATAAAGCTAAAAATAGCTAAAGATTAGCTGAAAAAAGATTTGGTCTATTTAATTAAATAGTATTCAATATAGTTTCTCAATATTCGATTGCCTAATTATATTAAAATAAACAAATACCCGTTTATATTCAATTAATACTTGACATAAAAGAGAATTCGAATTCTAGCAGCTAAAATGCTCTATGCATAATGATACAAATAATTCAATCATATTACATACTTTTAATAGCAAAAGTTTTCAACATAGGCGGCAAGACATGCAAAATTAATTCAGTATTCAATGTGTGTTATGGGATTGAGATTTAAAATCTTATAAAGATAAAACTATATAATCAAGCGTTCTATTGGATTCGTATATTAACAAAAAATTCATCAAATGATCCATTAACGATATAAATGTGATAATTGGATATATATCTCTTGAACCTACCATATATAATTTTTAACAATTTTTAAAATTAGTTACAAAGTCTGCATGATTATTTTAGCATTTACTTCTCAATTTCATGATATACAGTCGCGAAATACTAGAATAGATTAGTTTCAATAAAACAGAACAGTTATATCTTTATTAAAATACAGTTATAACTCCGCATAATAGTGAAGAAAATAAAACCCAATAATAAGGATGGTAAAATATAGAAGAGAGTGAAAAGCGAATTATTTTGATATATAAAAATTCTAGAAAAGAATATTCTGAAAAGAAAATATAAAGGATATTATATCACAGCTCGCGCAATTCTGCGAATTCTGCATTTCATTATGCGAATTACATGAGCTGGGATATAATATCATTAATATTTTGTTTTCAGAGTATTCTATCCTAGAATTTTTATATATCAAAATAATTTGTACAATCTTTCACTCTTTTCTATATTTTATTTTTTTATTTTCTTCACTCTAACTTTTGCGGAATTAAAGAAATCACATTATACTACTGTATCTGGCATTGTGCGTTTAGAAATCTATCTTGATAATAATCGATCATTTTTATATCAAATCGAAGGAATGTCGTATATTCAATACGAGCGAAAACAAAGTTCTTGGTTGATGTATTTTAGATACTTATAATATATAATGTATATATTGTACACTTGTACACGAATTTATCAGCGTGCATATTACTTTAGACTTACATTATGTTGCATTCGACATGTATATTACGAAAATATCTTATCTTTACCAGTGAGGTATTTCTCAGATATTTTTATCCCCTCAGTTTAGAAATCCTTTTCACACTTGCATGGTATGATTACCATGCAAAAAAAGCAGTTTATCGATCAGGTGAGGTGGTAAAGCCGCTCGCTTTGTATCGTATTGTATCTGTATATCTGCCGGAATACGTGTAGGTGGTGCGCAACAGGCGGGCACACAATGATATCTACTTGCCAGTTTTGCCAAGTTGGGACATTTCGCGGACACTTTAGACCACCATTGTAAGGGACAATGATCGAGCGGAGCAATGGATTCCGATTGATATTGAACAACCTCGAGATCCGCTTTTTCCTCTGCAGGCATTCCAGTCTTGGTAGCGCACAGACCCCCAAGTAAAAGTTCCATACCTGCGATTAAATGTCGATTTAAGATACTTATTTCACGTAATTTTCTTTCTAGTCGGAGACGCGTTATATATAATTATCGTCAAAGTATACCTGATACTCTAGTTTTTTTACTTTGTACTGTTTCATCTTCAGTCTTTATGGAGATATTATCCCCGGATTCTTCCTGAATCAATTTCGTCAGCATTTCTTTTATGGGAGAACTAACTACACTTTTATCCTCTTCGGTAACGTACGGTAATGATTTAAATCTGTGTAACAGAAAGTAAAAGTCTTATCAATATATGGCATTCTTAACATATTCAAAACATTTAAAAAGTGATTTCCATACTATTATACCTAGGATCTAAAGTAGTTGCGATTTGTAAGAGCAATGTGACATTGTAATCCGCGTATCGTTCACATAACATATCTGACAAGGATTCTTTAAATGTTTTAGCAATATCACTGTCAGACTCTTTAACTTTCAGATGCGAAGATACAAGTTGCCATAATAATGGCTTTAATAATGATATCAGAGGCATTTTTTCTTCACTTAATGTCATAATAGTAACTTTGAATGGTTCAAGAACACCCACTAGATCTTCCATAATTTTCCATTGTTCATTAGTGATTTCAAACATCTCTTGATCTATTCCTTCCATATTTTCTAATATAGATATGACTATGTTACGACGCATTACCATTTGCTCCAGCATGCTATATGTTGATATCCATACAACTGGATAATCTAACAACATAGCATTTTCTTCCAACTGCAATAAAACATACAGCTATTATATAAAACACTTATAAAATATTACTTTAATCATTCTCATATACATGTTGAATCATATTTATGTACTAGAGAAAATATTTTAAAGACGATCTTAATTTATAACAAGGGTAATTAATAATAATTTAATTTGCCTAAAAGATAATGTACCTCTAATAATTGCTCTTGCATAATTAATGTTGCAGACGCAGCTGGATGACTTATGATAGCTCCAATGACTGATCTGCATTTTGATAGTATGTGAGCTACTTCAGGATTCTCAAAACAAGCTTGCGCACACACCTGTAAAGTGTGAAGCAAGCATGGCACTAAAGTCAAGCCACGGTTACTTAATGCCATAAGTAATTCTGTTCTAGAAGTACTGACAACCACTGCTGTTATTTTCTCCACTTTGAGATCCCACTCGAGTAATAAAGAATCAATAGTACTACCCCAATGGGATTCCTCCCAATCTAATGGTGCATGAAGAGTGCTTAAAACTTTACACTCCAAAGTAACCTCTCCAGCATTTTGATAATAAATTGATACGGTAACAAAATGCTCATCGTTGTTTGATTTCCATTCTTCTATTGTCAATGCTAGCTCTGAAGCAATGCAGGATAATGAAGCAGCCACTGATTCTCGAAAAGTATCATATATTCTTGGTATTATTTCCTCCTCTAGTTTGTTTTTACTAGGAATCTCGCAAGGCGAGCGCAAAGTGGCTACCAATCTTTGAAATCCGCGACCTTCTACAATATCTGGCAATTGCAGATCCATTACGATAAATTCCGCTATAGCATCTGATACAGTTTTTACATCTACCGATTGATTTGTCACATTTTCCTCCGACATGAGAAATGCCACATTTTGACTGCTGCCATTAATACCAGATCCACTCTTGATCATTACTCTCAGTGGTTGACCAATGGTAATGTCATCCTCCATATTCGACAGACTTATGTTAGGATCTGTAACGAATTGTATATCACCGTCTATTTGGACAGTACCATCTGCATTAGTGGTATAAATATATTTCGTCGGGCTCAAGCCTGCTTTCAACAGTCTCTTTTGAGCTTTGCGCTCCTTGTTCTCCTGGGATATAATTTGCCTGGATGGAGGATTCGATGATTCCAGTTCCAGTAGTTCCTGGGCATGCTTATTTTGCAGATGCATACGGAGATTGCTGGTGTTACGATTATAGGCGATCTGCGTCTTGCACAGTATACAGACGATTTTTACCTTGGTGAGAATGTCGCCGTCATCCGTGGCTGGAAAGCCGAAGAATTTCCAGTAAATGCTTCTCATCGATGGCGGCACTACCAGTTTCTTATACGTATAGGTATGCTTCTCCTCCATCATTTTCGCCAGTACCATTTGTAAGTCGTTTTTGCCATCGTCGGACGCGCTGCTCACTTTCGTCGAGCCATTCGACAATGTTGATTGCTGCTTGTTATTCTCCATGACGTTTCGTTAAACGTTCCGATTAACGCGCGATCACCGGCGTCGGCATGTATGTTGTTTATCTATCACAAGGATCGCATCTACAGCATTTCCCGTGAATACGCGTGCTACCCTATTACAAATAACGTCACATATTACATATCCCGTCAAAATGGAGGTATCTCGTTGCATAATTGAAAATACAACTCCAGAAGAAGACGCATCTTGTCGTAATGAACGCTCATGAACGCGTCTAATCGTCACCCGCCAGTCGCGGATACACGATACACGACAAATTTACCGCGAGCACACGCTCCGATATATCTATCTCACCTCGTACCTCTGTCGATGAATTATTCTGCAGTTATCGAAGTTCAATTCCTCGCGTCGAAAGTAACGATGCCCGGATCGACTCGTTTGCAACAATGCGATATCGACTTTTACGCCGTTTGTCCGAGAGAGGAATATCGTTATATATCTACAGACTTCTGATCGATTCGAGTATCATCATAAGGGCTATCGCAATCGCACACAAATTGACATTACTACATACGCATAGCATAAAGGCCATTGCACGTGAAAAAGTTTTATTCGTAATTGTAAGGCTGTAATCAAATTGACCAATTACAATCAAGCATTCTAAAACGTAATAAGAATGTTCGACTGTGACTGGTTGATTCGCTTTACGGCCTTAGGCTTATATCCCATTAAGCGGTAAATGCGGCAGCGGAATCAAGTTTCAGCCAATCGTGAAATAGTTTTATATTTACGTTAAAAATATGTTAGACAAAAACAAATTCTATTGTTCATTAGTTTATTATATATATTATTGTATTTGTATTAAAATACTATTCCAACTATTATAAGTATTGTAAATAACATAAAAAATCTAATTTTATATCATTCCTCATGATCCGTTTTCGCGTATTCCGCTCGATTGTACAGAAAAAGCGAAGGAAAGAAAACGGAATGGCTGTGATTGGTCACTCTGGTTCCGCGCGTTTCGTTCCGCTATGAATTTCCATTCAATGGGACGCCGGCCTAATCTTGCTAATCTGTAAATTTGGCGGGAAAATATTTCGAAGCATATCGCATACGTCTTTCAAAATCACTGTGATCATCGACGAGATACTAGAGAAAAAAAGAAGTGAGGAAAATAAATATAAGTTTAGTGAAGGCTATCTAAAGTGATCTATTAATGGAATCTGTTAATGAAAAGTAAGTCCAAAAAAATGGCTAATTAAATTGCTAATTAAATTAAATTATCTTTATATTTAATGTTGTAATATTGTTCTCTGCATAATTTCGTTTCCTTTTTTCATATTAAGGAAAGACGTTCGCACAGAGGAGGATGTGCGTCAGATTTTAGAGCTAGCTACAATTAAAGAATCCGATTTAAATTCTACGACACAATGCCTTTATCCTATGCAAGATCATAAAATTGATGACTTAATATTATTGGAGGTGGACAAGCATATATGGGAAGCATTAAATGAAGGAGACACGTATGTGTCCTTTACAATACATTATTATTCACAGGTTTTGCAAAGTAGATTCTTGAATGATCCTGTTTGAACGCTAACAATATAATCTTTATTCTGCAGAGTAAAATGATGATTATAGTTGATTTTCTGATGATAGAGTATCATTCCGTGGTAACAAGCATGATGACGCTATATTGTGCACAGAAACTCGGACCTATGAAATCAAAGAGGCAGAGATATCCAATTCATGGTTGTTGATACCAAACTTGAAGCTGAGCAAGGCAACAAGTGCAGAAGAAGTAACCGAAAGAACTGTAGAGAGACGAAATATAAAGAAGATATTTACCTCGTACTATGAGGTACTTGTAGCATTAAATGATATCTGAATAAGATGTTGAATTGCATAATAAATTTAAAATTCTAATTTTCTTTAAGGTGAAAGAAACCAAACCTAATTTGGCAAATTTGTCCATTCTTCTTAACTCGTCATCTTTTAATGGTTTGGAAAATGAATCTATGATAGATAGAAGGACATTATACAGTTGGGAGAGATTACAAAGTGAGTTACAAACCAGTGATTGTGAATTGAAACAGGCTTTAGCGGATTTCTTAATAGCTGACATAGATGGTAATTATTCTAACTTCTGTTATATTAGATCATTTTTTTATTTTTACAAATCATATTAAAACTTTTGTTCTGTAAGGCTATTTGCGTCTTATATCATTTGATATAGAAGCAAGAAGTCTGAATTTTATGTTGGATTATTTCGGAGAACAGACTTGGGAATTAGATGAAGTAAATAAAGAAGATACATTCGAATGTCTAAAGGAGCTTATTTATGAGCCAGTATTTAATGTTATATTCAAAAAATATACAGAAATAAGCACAAAGACAAAAAGTGATAATAGTCCATTATACAAGTAGGTACATCATTAATATTGGATTGGTGCAAAAGTTTGTCACATTTTTTATTTTTAGTAAAAAAAAATGAGACGAGCTTTTGCACCAAGCCAATATATTTTGTAGCAATTAATGAACAAATTTGATGAAAAAGAATTTATATTTTCTAAAGATGCAATTTTACAGATATGATGAAAGAAAATGTTGTGCAACGATAGCAAAAATTCTTCTTGCTGCTTCTCCTGTCACAGAGTACAAAGAATTTATGGAAACATGGAACATTGGTACCCCTGAAAGTATGTAATTAGTAAACTCGGGATCATGTTGTAAAATCTTTTCTGTCTTAAACTTGGAATTTCTCATTTATCTTTTTCTAGAGATGTATCCGAAAGAGGAGTATTTATGTGGATCTGCTCTTGTAATGTATAGCACCTCAAAAAATCAGAGGGAGATTGTATCTTGCCCAGAGGCAGATTTACCCAACAATATCCATGATAGACTTAATGAACTTTTCCAAATTAAGGCTAAATGGACTGTTGAAGAGATAACACCTTATATCATGTAAGCAAAAAAAAATATATATCTTCTCATTATATATATCTTGAATCTTATATAATAACTTTTTTTAGCCGTTTTACAAAAGGTACAATGAATGTTAATGCACTTTTAACAAAATATGCTAGATGTTCAACAAAAAATGGATTAAAGTATTATGGATCAAAACATGGCAAGTGAAATGTTGTAGTAATTATATTCGTGGGGTATGTATTAAATTGTCATGCAATAAATATTGATACACATGTTACTGATTAATTATAAATTATATTAATGTCAGGGCAATATTCTTTTGAATTGTCTATAATGTTAAAATCATACGCGCAGTTTATTTTGCTTGTGATCATGTGTGATACATGTAGTTACATTTACACAATTTATAAATATTTTTAAGATGAAATGAGATTACATATGATTTATTTTTATCATCCTTTGTTTCATTAATATAACAGACATTATCGGCGGTATATATTGTATCTCATCAAAAGACCATAATGTAATGAGAATGTAATATTAGATAACGATTATTAATTTCAGTGATCAAATAACTCTTATATATTATCCCATTGACTGTAAAATCGCCACTTTATTATAGAAAAATTTTGCTAAATCAAAATTTTCGTTCATTATGTAACGTTATTAGTAATTATAATTAAATATAATAAGATATAATCTCGTCATGAGTTAAATATAATAAAACTTATATAAATATATGATACATGAAATATAGAATAAATTTACTTATGAATGACAATGAAAGAAATCTTAGAAAAGTACAAAAAAATTATAAAAAAAATTTTATATAAAATAAAAATTATAGAAAATGGAATTTATCGATTTTTGTAAAATGCAATTTCTACAAAAATCTTAATATCAAATACTTTGATACGATATCTATTTAAAAAGATATTTAAGACTTATATGATACTGCATTTTGAGAGTAAAAGACTAATTGTCATAACAATAAACAATTCTAATATTTGCAAGAAAAGTGATAAAAAAGGCTCCTGTAAAAAAAATGTGTATATATCATTGCTCTGTATGTAGTTGATCAAATTGGCGATTTAATTAACATTAGTTCTACTTCCAAGTATAATGAATATCAGTTATACATGCTTTCAATATAAATTAAAGCAGTTTGTTATGTTTTCGCAATACAGGAAAGTGCCATCAGTAATTATAAATATTCATTATGAGTTCCTGGGAAGCAACTCCTTTATCAAGAAATATACAACACACAAACGTTATATTCTTTCTCTTACGAGCGTATAAGCACGTCTTGGCACATAAACTTTAAAAGCCACATACCATTTAAGATACAAAATTCACAAACTTTTTTATGAATATTTCACATCCATGCCAATTGTAACAATACGTGAGTAAAATGTAACAATACAATGATTATTATGTTTCAGAATATTAAGATTCCTTGCAGATGAGATTGAGTTCCCCAGGAACACAATAAAGATATGCGCACAAATATAATACTTTTTTTATACCCATAAAGTATTCGGATTTTGTAAATACATCGTACATATATATGCACATAGTGCCGCCGCAAACTGCATTGATGAACTATTAATGGTATTTTTATATGCAAAGATGTAACTTCCTAAAAATATCTCATAGGAACTGACTTGTCGCTGAAAAATGGTTTTTGCCTTTTATAAAACATTTCGTATATATAAATGTCGCAAATTGGTATGAATCATTAAATAATTATTTAATAGAAATAACATTCAGTCCCTCTTTTTACATTATAATCACTCCCCATAGTATTCCTATAGGAAGGAAATAGACTATGAAATTACGAACTTGTATTAAAAACAACATTGTATAAGATTATGGCCTACAAGAAATTATATTCTCGCGCAATATTGGTTGAAGAGAGAAGATATTGTTCGTTTTTAAATATATATTTATAAATATATACATACACATCCCTATAATACGTTTATGTATGTATACATTACTAATTGATTACGAGATGACACAAATAAAATCGACAAATTTTTCAATCACGAATATAACTTGCAATGCTTTAAATAAATGCGAATAGTGAATGAATCGAGGTCTTTTCCTCATTTAATAATGTTAGTGTTAATAAATGGTTGCCTAGTTTTTTTATTTGCAACAAAACATAACTTTGCATCACCTCATATATGCAGTCATCGCATAACAAATAGTTGTGATAATCCTAAAGCTTTGGAGTTGTGATTTCATTATATAGTTGTTACTTAAATCCCCTATTAAACTATAAACTATTCTACTAACTAATCCTATTATAACTAATGAATACTGTCCTATCTATAAGTACGCGTAGATAAAATGCTTGCATATTTTTAAATGTTAAAAAGAGCTAAAAAGCACAAATACTATATTTCTCCCATCGCTGAAATATTCGTGTAGATGAATACACGGGTAACTTGATAGGAGGATGTCATCTTTATATACATACTAAGCAATAATCCGAAGTAGTCCTGGAATCGATATATAAAAAAATTATAATCCGCATATGTTTTTACGAGGAAGCCACACATTCACACCATTTACTTCAATTCAAGACACCTCGTTGTTAGCTGTCATTTATCGGAGTTTCACTTGTGGCTTTACTATTGGTCGCAAACACCGTCTGTTGATTAACGCCTGCTGTAACCGACTGACTTGGATGTATGACAGGATTAACAGTCTGTACTAAATTGCAAGCGACTGGCACCATAGGCGGCAAATTAACGGAATTATTCATAGGCCCAGCGTTACATGTCAATGAAGGTCTCTTTCTTTCTAGACTATTAGTGGCCATTTGTCTCCTTGCTGTTGAATTGCGTTCAAGACTGTTAGTTACTATATTATGTCTTCTTTCTAAACTGCTGCCGGAATTGAGATCGGATTGACTTCCCTAAATAACAAGAGCATATTTTTGAAATCGTATTTACTTCATTATTTTTATATACATATCTCATCGCAATTACACAGTAAATTTGTTAAAAATACTGTTTTCCAAAGTCTATATTATAATTTCAAAAATGTATAATAGTTTTAATTGAGTTATTTAACTTACTGGTGAAGATCGGTCCATAGACTGGCCCATTCTATGCAATAGGTCACCACTTTGGCTTTGTCTGAAGGTCGTTCCCTGTCGTTCACTTGACTGACTTCTCCTTAAGAATTGTTCGCCGGACTGGCTTGAGCGAATACGGTTCTCGGGCGTGGATTCTCGCGTCCTGTTAACAACATCGCTCTGCTTTTGGCAAATCTGATTATCCACATACGGATAACGAATACGGATGGAATCGATCACATCTAAGAGGTTCTTTGCGTCCATTGCTAAGATATGGGCTGCAGAAAGCATTCCTCTGAAAGAGAAAAATCATAATATTAATTAATTTCTCATGCGATAATCTGTATCTGCAGATAATAATAAAAGGAATATACTTACTTCCGATATTCGGCGTCTAATGTAGTGGCACTGTAATTTTGCGCCAGTTTCATAGCGGTTACGAGTTCTGCCATATCTTTACTTAATACCTTATGCGCCATTTCCACTTCGCGATGCGCGGATATTGGCAATATTTTTACAAGAACATCTACAGAGGACAGTAATGCTCTTAATTCGATACCTACTCTACGTACTAGTTCTAAATACTGATCAGCCTTGCTCTGTTGAACACCTGCAATTTACAATATATTTTTTTTGTGACAACAAATATAATGAAGTAAAGCATATAATTTTTTACAATATTATGCTGCAAATTTAGCTGCCATGTTATTATCGATCATTATACATTCTCACCTTGTGACAATGACATAACTGCACGCACGACGCTTGTTGTACAGTCGTATACTTTATCATTAGTTCTATCTAAATCTGCAGTAGGTGTAGGCTCCATTTTCTATAAAAAAATCGATTAATGATTTATGTTGTAATAAACATGCAGATTATGTATATCAATAATAAAATGATAAATATCCGTATCGGTTTTACCTTTACTACAATTACTTTATCAGAACCCTTGTCTGAGCCAAGAGAACCAGTATTGGTGGAATGTGGTTCATGGCTTGGTGATTGAGTAACTGATCGTGGAACTGGGGGACTAGCACTTTCATCACCACTTGTTGCAATCGATAAGCGTTTCTGTCATATAATGAAATTCAAGAAAAATTTAACTAACTTTAATTAACAACGAACATCTAGACTTATATAAGCGAAATTTAACATACCTCTTCTCTCGCGAGCCAGCGACTATCCTCTTCAGACTGTCGTTGCTGCTCCAACAACCGTTGCTCTAATAACTTTTGTTCATCGTCAACACCACTGTTAAAATTGTCGGTCAGATTGTCGAACAATTGCGACTGTGCATTCCTCTAAAAAGATAAAAACGATAATGTGTTAGAGAAATTTAATTCGTTCTTACTTCATATATTTGTCATAAATTATTATAATTTAATTTGGGATATTTTGTAACAAGATTTATGTTACAATTGTTTTTTTTCGATAATATACAAATATGTACAGTAAAAATTAAAGAGATGCATTTATTTCTCGAGATGCAAAATAAACTTAAAACAGAAGTAGTGCATTCGTGTTCGCTACATGCAGTTTAAGTGATTACTGTAGCAATGACATCAGTGACATCCATTCATGCAAAAATTATTAGCCTACTGGAATAGCGAGTCAAGATTTCCGCTAGAAATAAATCTTTCCGATTGCATCGCAACAAAATAGAAGATTCCTGTTTGTCCCATACATACATATTTTACTAGAGAAGCATATTACATATACATATATATTATAACTGAAGAAGTGTAGAAATATATTGCGGAAGTGTTGCACAGACCAGGTAAAAACCAAAACAATACGTTGTAAATATAGAAGATGCGTTTTTTTTTCACATTCCTAGAGGAGGCATGGAGTCAAACCTGATCTTGTTGTGCCTCCTCTGTCATCGAGCTGCTAGATGACATGGTGCTGTCACTGACAGCGGAAGAGATCAAAGAACCGGAGAGAGTGCCGTCTGTTGAGCTTGTCAATTGTTCGTCTTGTTTTTGCGGTGTCATGAACGTGGTGATCTTGGCGACGCCTGTCGCCATTTGCGGTACATTTGCCGCCTTTGCAACGCCGCTAACAGATTGACCTAGCTGCGCCACTTGTTGCACACCGCACGTATTCATCGTCGTTATATTGCCGACAAGCATAGCGTGCACTTGAGTGTGATCTATCGGGCCAAGGGAACTCGGTTGTTCCACCACATACGTAGATGAAATTGGATGGATATTCTGTTGAGTCACGGAAGATGATACGATAAAATGCGATGGAACGGAGGAAGCTTGCATTATTCCAATATTTGCTGACTGATTTGTTGCTTGACAGGTTGTTGACTGACCGCTGATCCCTGCTGATGGCTGCGCTTGATGGATATAATTCGGTACGTGTACCTTCTGCGCTTGAACCACCGACACGGATGTAGCATGGGCCGTGTAAATAGGATTAGCGCCACTCAACTGATGAGATTGCTGATTCGTGTGTTGTATCGCTGCATATGATACAACCTGTGGTACAGCGTTTTGCCGCGCAATATTTTGCACGTGTTGCATTTGTGGCAGATACATAGCCTGCTGTCCTGGCTGAGCAATATTAGAATAGATCTGCTGATGCGGATAGTTCTGCGGATATATGGGCTGCTGCGACTGTAGATTCTGCGCTATCAGATTATTTCTTGTAGCCTGACCGTAATTATTTCCTGTCGCACCGACAGGCTTCGCCGATTCGGTCGCGGCTGTCTGAGGCTGGACGTTCTGCGCGCGAAACTTGAGAACCGGACCGTACAAACATTCCGTGTTCGAACCAGCAGTTACATTCGTCGAGCTAATATTACGAGGATAAACAACAACGCTACTACCACCATCACCACCGCTACTACCAACACTCTGCACGCCGCTCGCATTTGGATTCGTAGACTGACCGCCGCCACCACCACCAAATACTTGGTTTATATTATTATTAGGCGCGAAATTACCATAATTAATCGGCTGGGCATGCGTGACGAATTGCGCCTGACTACTACTATTCGGTATCATAACACTGCTGCCCAAACTACTGGGACCAAAGTTCCCGGGATTCTCACCGTAATTACCACCTACTATGCTAGCGCTCTGACTGAGATTACCAACGATAGCCGAACTCTGGGTGAAACTAGCGACCGGTCCGTATATCTCGCCGCAGGTGTTGCCCGCGACCGCGGCTGATGCGGCCGCGAATGGCGGCGGCGGCGTCGCGCTGGACACGGCGAATTTCTGCACGGGGGAGTACAGATCCCCCGTGACGCTACCGACCACCTTCGAGCTAACCGCATACAAGTTTTGCATCTCTTTAACCTTCTGCTGCTTTCGGTTGGCGGCGGGCGACTGCGTCTGCGTTGCCGTGTCTGAAAGGCTCAGGCTCGACATGAGAGGAGTATTATCGAGGGAGGAATCAAGGGAATCTAGGTTAGTGTCTGACAGGGTAGAGTCGCCGCCCGATTGAGTAGTGTCGTGCGTGACGATGGACGGTGGTTCGGAGAGCGCGGGATCGAAGAAGGGCAGATCAGACACGAGAGAGGTAGTCAGAATTTGATCCTCATCCTGAAACTGCACCGCCAGGGTGTTGAAGGGGGATGCGGGAGTCGTGTACACGGAGGGACATACCCCTCTGGCTTGGTTGTCCTTGAGAAGCTGCGCGAGAACCTCGGGACTCTGCGCCACGATGTATGTGGACACCGGCGCTGCGGACAATTGCGACTGCTCCGTCGTGTTTTGCGGTTGTCGAGAGGGTTTTGGTGGCGGCACATCGTCTGCACCTAGAAAATATAAAATAGAATATTTTATATATATACAAAATCGAATAACACGTTCGCTATTATAGCGTGTATGTTTTGCTAAAAAATTGAAATATGTATATCATTATTGTAAACGACGTACCCCAGGACATAGCTTGTACTCTTCTGTTCTCTCGTCTCATTGTTTCCTGTTGCTGATGTTTCTCTTCCATCAAGATCTCGCTATAATTATTTAATAGATTAGTATGTAATATAATATGTAATATAGCATGTAATAATACCCCTTCTTAAAAGGGTTGCTTAAAGTTTACGAATATTTTAAATACTCACTGTAAAGTTTCTCTAATCTCTTTAAAGGTCGGTCTCTTGCTGGGTTCGTAACTCCAACATTGAGACATCAAGGAGTACAATCGTGGCGGGCAGTGATTGGGAAGCGCGAGGCGTTCTCCATTCTCCAGCTTGCGTATCACTTCATTATTCTTTACCCCTTGGAATGGTTTGACGCCTAACATTAAAATCTCCCACATACATACACCTGGAACAATGATCAAGTTTCATTGACGCAATCTTTTACAAGGGAAAACAAACCTGGTTTTTACAAAACACGATTAATTTTAGTGAAAGCTAACCGAACATCCAAACATCGGACGAGGTCGTAAATCTTCGAAAGTTTATGCTTTCCGGTGCCATCCACTTAATTGGCAGTTTACACTTGCTTGCAGTATAATAACTCTGATCTTCCACCCACCTACTGAGGCCGAAATCCGCCAATTTAACACAACTATGCGACGAAACTAGCACGTTTCTCGCAGCGATATCTCTACAACAAAATCACACAGATATTACAATAATATCTGAAATATAGAGTGACAAACGGATTTCGTTCATTGTAAGTACCTGTGCACGAATTTCTTGCTTTCAAGGTATGACAGGGCAGTGCTCAATTGGAAAGTATACAATAGAAGTGTGGCAAGGTCTAAACGGTGTTTATTAGATTGTAAATAGGCACGCATTTCTCCGAGTCTAGCTAATTCCATTACGAGCCAAATCGGCGCCTCCGAACAGACTCCGATCAGTCTGATAATGTGCGGATGCTCAAACTGCTGCATAATATCTATAATTTGATTATCGTTTTGAGTATAATGAAAAACAACGTTTACGTATCTCTTTATATTTTACTAAACACAAGTATATGATTATATTAATTTTTCGTACAAGCTTCTTCGAGAAATTTCTCGGAAGTAGCGTGATCCGCGTCGACCTTGCAGGTCTTGACGGCAACGGCGATGGTTTGACCGTCCCTTCCCTTGTACGATCCTTTATGGACGTTACCGAATTGACCCTCCCCTATAATTTCACCTAGTTCCACTTGGTTTCGGACTATTTCATAGTCTCGAGCTGCAAGCAAGATTGACTGATTTAAATATCTTTCATGCATTAATTCAAAATATAAAGATATAAAAATAAAAATCAACGATATTAATGAAGAGTATTATAATTATGTTTTTATCATGTTAAAGTAAACGATAAAGACAAATATACTTACTAGCTGGTGTCGAATAATCTCCTTCTTCGTCGACAATCTCCGCATAATCTTCGGATAAAATGGTTCCAGTTTTACCTGTATTCTTCTCGCCGGCCGGACTACTGGCACCACCATCTTGTCTATATTTTGGCGGTTGCGCATCTATAATAAAAATCATATTTCATGTATATGTATAAATGAGAGCGTTAAAAAAATATTTAAGTACGCAGAATTCCCTCGTTTGTTTACCTTTGCATGGACAGGGATAATTCTTCCACGATCCAGCTTGTGAGTACAAAATAAACAAACTTAATATATCTTATTAACATCGCAATAGAATGAAAGTTTATTAAAAGATTTTAAGATATGATCTGCGCACGCATTTTTATATTTTTTTAAAATTATATCGGAGGAAACATCTCGAAAATAATTATTACTATTCGAAACTTTTGTCATAATAACAAATATTTTTATCTTTACCTTTTCTATTCCACAATGAAGTGTTGCTGCCTGTAGCCAATCTACAATATCCGTCAATCAAATCTGCGAGACTCTCTGCTTGATCCAGACTGGAGCAAGTGATGCTGAGAGTTTCCGCGGCACCCGCGACTCTTAATTTTATGCAGGCCTTTGCATGTGTTTTACAATCCGATACTAACGTTTGGATGGATTGTATTTGCGAGAATTCTGCCATCCTAGTCGGCTGCAATCAAGATTTTTATTCCGAGAGGAATGATACAGAATCAGTTTTTTTTTAATAAAAAAGATATGTGATTCGAAAACGTACAACTGTCCCTCCTCGATGGGCCATGTACGATATACCTAAGTCCGGTCCAATGACTAGTTCCACGGGTATCGACCAGCTTGACTACGAGTTATACAATAGAAATTATAAGTGCAACATATCGAGAGTACAATAAATTTGAAATATCAAACATAAAATCTGCGTGTTTCTTACATTTTTATCGTTCGGAGTACACTAGAAGAAATATATGGTAGATTTATAACTGTTGTTACTTACCCCTAAAGCGCATATAAATCTTTCCTGATCGAATCGATAGTACGCCCGTAGCAGATCGAAGAATTTAAACATGCACTCGAGTTCGGACAACGCCGCGACTTTCTTAAAGTGTTGCTGTATCAATTTTCGGAGTGCCTTCGCCTTCATCCCGTTCAGTACGGAACGTGGTAAAAATTTGTGCAGACCGACCTGTGAAAAGAACACAAATTCGGTCGCGTATTTCGTACAACGAGAAAGGATGCGATAAATAGATACGTGGTTGTATTGTAAAATTGCAAGCGACGTTCATCGCTTTAAGAAAGTCCTAAGTACCTCACGCTCCAGGTATTCGAGATTGCTCTTCTTGTCTAGAGCAATTTGCGGCAGAACCGCGACGTCCTGATCCAGAGCGGCGTGATTCGCGAGCAAGTAATCGTTTCGCACCTGTGAACGCGATAATAAAGATGAAAGATGTAATTCGTACTTTATTTCTAGAATGTGTAAGCACTCTATGTTACGATCCATATATTATCGTTACCTGATCGTAATAGTAGTAAAACGTGACTTTGTCTTTCTCGTAAAGATCATTCAGATTCTGAGGAAGATAACGCACTCGAAGCTCGTACCTCCATTCGCAGTGCGGATGCTTTCGTTCGTACTTCTCTTGCACCTTGAATCGAATGCATTGAAAAAATTGAGAAAAGAAACAGAATATATCGATGTTGGGATACGACATGCGGCTCGCACCACACGTATATTGTACCTGATACATCGTTATATCCTGATGTAACCAATAACTCTCTCCGGATCCGGGATGGTGCAGCCTCATCGCGTACAGATTCCGGTAGTGTCTGGTACCAACGGCTAATCGACTAGTCACCAGAGAAATGATACCTTTAACGTCGATCGCATCGCCAAATTTGACGACATTGAAGCCACCTAAATTTAATAACACAGGATATATATAATACAAAAATAATAGAGCTGATGAGCTATCTGTTTTTCTTAATGCACTTGTATTTTACTTTATAATTTTCTTATCTATTTTCTTTATATATAGTTTTCTTTCTGTGTAAGAAAATATACATATATAAAAAATAATTATAGTTAATAAAAAATAAAGAAATATTTATATATTATTATATATAATCTTTATTCTTTGGTGAGTGCGAGAAGCAAATGTCTCATCAAGCAGTCCATCATTTGACGCCAATCTCTGGCATGTAATAGAATTCTTCGAAGAGCTATTTCAGGGCGAAATAACTTACCGTTAGGAAGATGAACTTTTAAGGTCGCCTTATCCATGGGGGTGGGCGAGCCGTGCGGTGGTGTATTCCTACCACCACCACTGCTCTGGACACCTCCGACACCTCCGCCTCCACCTCCATCTCCTGCTCCAGTGCTCATCCCCTCATGGCTATATAGAACACACAAAAAAGAAGAAAAGATTCTTAATAAACGCCTCCCCCGCGCGACATTTTTGTGCATTATTTCGTAAAACTGCTCGTTATGTGAAACAAGCAGATCTCGTGTGTTCAGTAAAAAATTAATTAAAACGTTTCGTAAAAGGAATGAGTCTTTGACATTTCTCGTCGTGGAAAAACTACAGATTTTTGTATTTTCGATCTTTTGTGCCGCTTTATTTTAGACACCGCTATTTACTGGCTTTTAGAAAACTTCGATACTTGATCTTAAAATTGTTTAGTATATCGATTATTTCAGTTGGAATGCGAATAAATCAAATTCTGACAAATATTGAACTCTCAAAAAATTGTTGACAATTTTAGGAAATTTTTAAAATATAATCTCTGACGAGATGACATGAGTATCAATTTGAAATTTATTAACAATATTTCTTTGTCAAACTGTCAATTAATTCGCGTATTTCGTGCATCTTTGCGGTCAAATCTTCTTTTTTCGTATTTTTAAAAATATTTATTCTCTCTGTCTCTTCTTTTTCCCTGATAGCACAACAATGTTTCACGTTTGTTTCATTCGAGGTTTCATACAATGAAAAGGAAAAGATGCATGGTTCCTGCAGCAGTCGCGTCAAGAATAATTTAATGACACTCGTGCAGTTCCTGGACAATTCGTTTCACACTTTGAAGGCTACTTTCGATCTGTCGAACGTACGTCCCGCGACGAATGCAATCGCGAGTCCCACCGCGGCTTCATCATGGCATAGAGTTCACTCTAGTAAGACCAAACGACGTTACCCGGGGAACTGTCGCAAGAAATCGCGAAAAATCGCGAGTGACGCGTCAGCGCTGCAGAAATGCAGCATAGCAAATCGAATCACCGCCGTCGTCATTATATTGAACAGATCAAATCACAATTGTCGGCTGATGATGTTCGTGCGGTTCGATGCGCGTTGAAATTGTGCTGATCACGAAGTAAGGTCAGTCGTTCCCGCGAGCGAAAATAACAATTGTCGCAGTGACATCACGCGCGATGATCTAACGAAAAGCGGTCATATTATCTTGGGCGTGATAATCATTCGGTAAGAATAAGCGCAGTTAGAGATTTTGAATCGATTTTCAACGATTGCTCAATAAAAATACTCATTATTCATTAATCGATCGCTTTCAGTCTATTCGATCATCGAGTACATACAAGTTTAAAACTCAATTCTCTTCTTAATAAAATATATAGCGTGCTTTCGTAAAGCTTGGGTCAAAATCAGTTTTAGTGCGATGATATATCTCTTATAATTTTTATTGCTATAACAAATAAATTATTACATGCACCCCTTTCAAGGTGCAATCAGTTGAATAAAAAGAAAGGCCACAGAAAAGGCAAAAAATCAAAAAATTTCCATGATCTTACAACAAAATTTTTACACGGGAGAGAAAAGATTTTTAATCCAGTTATTAAATAAAAATCAATAAAGCCGGGTTCGCAAAAAAAAATTTCAAGACTATAGATTAAAAACGACATAATTTAAATAACGCATTATTAAAAAAGGTTTCGCGGAATTTCAAGAAAAGAAATTCAAAGTTTTCTCATTGTAACGTTTCAGACAGTTGTATCGTGTATAGAACAGTACATTATAGTAACGCGTCATAGTAATGAGATCGAGCTTTCTGTAAAGTAATCCACATAATATCTGTGCTTCACCTCTCTGATTCTCACGAGATTATTCAGAGTATCGAGTTTATCCTTCACCCAGCTTTCGAGATAGTATTCGGATATGTCTCTACGATATGTTGAATGCACATGCGTTTTACTTATCGATTCACCGCGTTAAATCGTCGCTATTTGACTGAACTCGTGAATGTAAGGAAATATTTATGTCACGGAGAAAATTTCTATATAATTGATGTTTCCAGAAGATGTTTACTATCCATTAACTAAATTATATATTTAATTGCATCTCAAACAGACGAGAAATATAAATGATTGAAATCAAATACGATGTCTAGAATGTCCGATATAGAAATGCAAATAATTAAACTATTAGATAGAGTATTAGATTAAACGATAGCAATATTAGCATAACAATTATGTATATTCTTAAATCGTACAAACGACATCTTTTCCAATTGCGATAACACGTGCTTGAATCAATTATATTCTTAAATTCAAAAAATCACCTTCCAATCACTATAATATATGCTTTAATCAAAAAATTGCCTACAGAGTACTTTTTAATTCAATCATAATCGAAATTTCGATTATCAATATTTCGAAAATTAATATTTCGTGATTTTCAAAATATCTATGATATTCGAAGTAAGTTTTTTAAACTAAAAATCGCAGAACTCTTGCAAAAAAGGATCAGGAATTATGGGGGGAGGGAGGGGGGTAACTATTCAAAGGAACATTAGAACTGTACTCGGAACTATTTAATCTTGATATGTAAAAAATCGTGAACCTGGCACTTCCATCTTTCAAAATCTACTTTCGTTGTTATAATGGAGAAAACTAGTTTTAAAAATTATCAAGAAATCTTTCTTTTGTTTCGAATAACACAGAACTCTTAACAAAACCATGGTATCGTAACATAGAGGTGCCAACTTCACACGCTCGCTATTAATGCAAATGTATATTACGAGTGACGTCCGACTAAGGAATGTTGTCAGTCAGGGACCAAGCGTTTGCATCGGGAACCACCAGCTATCGACGTGCGAGCTTCTAAGAGAAATCGGCGATCGTGTAAATTTATTTACTTCAGATAGTTATCGCCATAAGAAACTGGGAAAAAATCGAAGAGAAATCAAGAAAAAAAAAACTTTTGTTTCAAAGACTTCTCAATTTTTCAAATTCTATAAATTATTTCGTAAATTCAAATCTGTGGATCAAATAAAAAAAATTAGCATTTTATATTTTTAAAAGCACTCCATACATATTTCAAATTACATTGAAAAATCTCAATGAGATCTAAATTTGTGGCATGAAAATTTGTCTAAAATCAAAGATCTAAAGATATATTTTTACACCCGATGTGTGTATATGTGTGTGTGTATGTGCATCAAATTTATATGTAAAATTTTCGACACACGAGGTTTACACGTCGTAAAACGGATTTCGATATAAATCGCGCATTCTATAAAAGTCCGAGAGACGGTTCTATCCGATCGCCGCCTGCACCAATTTATGGGCGTACCGTGCGAAAGTTCGCCTTCGCTTCCTCGCGTAATGTTACACCGATCCGTGTTACGGCCGTACTCGTAATCCGACACGGTCATGTCCGTAAATCATCGCAGACGCAAATTACATGAACAGAAAAATACGGGAGTGTATCGGGACACGGATATTAGTGCGCTAAGTGATAGAGGCTCCCCATTTACGGTCGCTTTGCTAACGAGAAATCCGCGCGCAATCCATGCGCGATACACACGATGATCGATAATTTCTCTAAGAATAAATATTGAAAACGAGACATCCGTCGTGAATCGTCGTCCATCGTAAACCGACCGCTCCGTGAATCGGCAATTTCTCTTTTTAAACAGCTTTTAATATCGGCCGTTTAAATCTGCAAAATTAAACTCGAAGTTTGCATCGAGATAAGCACGACGCAGTTCATAATTATCAGCCGCAAATTGCAACATGTATATAATTGGGAACTTGTTTGTTTACAATCTCGCACGGGGGAAGTGGTAGAATTATCGAAAGGACACACGGCGTTGTATAAATTACGCGCGAGTACGCGCCTTGCCTGAGAAAAGGACGTCATTGGAGAAACAAGTTGCGCGGATATAAATAACTACCTACGCATATTAATAATTAATATGAGGCTATATCGTGTGAAATTTTTGAAATTTCTCGTCGAGAAGTACGTCGAACGACAATGTTGAAAACGCGGACTCGATCTTTGGCCTCGATTTCTTTATTAATTTTTAATCTGCATATTAATTCTAACTTTATTTTTTTTCGTAAAAAGATCTGTTTCTTCAAGTATTAAAATACAGGCGATCGTTGCATTTGATTGAAGGAATTTAATCGATAATGACAAAGGGAGTTGCTGATAAAAGAAAGGATCGGGACAGGGTGAAAGCCATCGCGCACAAATTGACATAGCTATATATGCATAGCGTAAAACCGTCTAGACCAATAAGCATCGAGCATTAAGTCACTATATTGATTTACATAACATGCTCATTGGTACAGATGGTCTTATACTATGCATATCAGCTATGTCAATTTGTGCGCGATAGCCCTAAGTCGATGCACCCCGTTTATGATACGCCTGTTATACCTCTACGCACCTGCAGCTGTCGCCCACGCAGCTTTACCTTTCACTATTACTTTCTCTATTGCGCTTTTGCGTCGTCCGACAAATTGCATCCATAGATATGCAAAATTACGCGTGAAAAATGTGATGCACGCTTATCTGAATCCGCGAGAAGAGCTAAGATACTCCGCTGCTTTCTGATTATTTTCAGGCACACGAGATACGTCGACTATCGACGTTTATAGAAACAAATTAGTTGCCTGCAGCGTAAGTTAATTGGCACTGGATGTTTAGTTAATCGATAGTCGGCCTTATGAGATAAGATACATAGGGAGACGTGACTGTTTAGGATATTTGGTAATTGAATGTTACTGAAAATGATATTCGAATACATAGTCTGCTAAGGAATGTTTCGGACGTGTCTTTATACCTCGAGCGAGACGCCTTATGAAATTTCCACGTTCCCAGCGTATCCGGACTGTAAGAGTCGCTGCAGCCCAGCTGGCCCAGAGAGCAAAGCAAACCCTTGCTGTCTCTCCTCCATCGTTTCTCGCGCATACAACCCCTTTCTGCGCGCCTCAAGAGCACGCCTCCTCCCTTGGGATTCTTCCCGAAGTTATCGAGATTTCGAGCGCGACACGTGGGCCAGGAGATCCCGCTGGCTTTGCGTTCCACGAGTTCCAACATTCTCCGAAAATATCCGAACGTTTTTACGCGATTAGCCGGGTACCATTTTTCAGATA